CTGTAGTCTTCTTTCCGGAGAATTAATCTCCCCATTTGAGGAGATTATGGGGAGGAGGCTTATCACAGGCCCATGGCTTCTGCAAGAACTTCCCGTAGTCAGATATGGGAACTTCAAAAAAAGCCCATCCCTGTGCTCTGGGAGAGACTGAAGGGCCAGAGACAGGGAGTTGGGGGCTGGGTAGAAGGCAGACTTTGCGCCCGGGGCTGCTTCTGGGGCTCCTCCACCCCCAGAGTTCAGACTGCTCAATATGCCAAAGCACTGTACTTTGGGTGGTTGTTCTCTGAGCCCAGCATACCCTATTATTTCCTTGATTTATGTCATAGTGAATTAAAGTACTAGGCTTCAATAAGGAGTACAGTGGCCATAAAAGGCTTTGGTATAGGTACAACTTGGGGAACACATAACTCAACAGGTGGTAACTGAAGGGTCGGGCTGAGTTAGAGAGTGGACCAAGGACACACAGTGTTTCTTCAGCCTCAGCACATTTTACAGAGAAGAAGAGGTGTTGCTCAATGCTGTCATTGAGCAGGATTGGTTAAGTCAGTGTGAAAATCAAAGGTGGACAGCTGGATTCAGAAAGTGGTATTTTCTCAGAGCATCCTAGCTCCCGAGAGAATTTTCTCAAAGACCACAGCACCACCACCAAAGCAGCTGAACCTCAGTTTCTACAGCTATAAAATGATTTTTAAATCTTATTATTTTGGAGCTGGCACTGAGACGAAGAAGGTTAGGCTGCTGCTTGCAATGCCAGTATCTCATATGGATGCCGGTTCAAGTCTCAGCTGTTCTACTTCTGATCCAGTCCCTTACTAATGCACCAGGGAAAGCAGTTGAGCCCCGGTACTTGGCTCCTGCACCCAAATGGGAGACCTGGAAAAGGCTCCTGACTCCTGGCACTGGCCTAGCCACAGTTATTGAGGCCATTTGGGGAATGAACCAGAAATGGAAGATCTCTCTCTCGCTCGCTCTTCTACTCTCTCCCTCTCTCTCTCTCTGCCTTTCAAATAAATTTTTTTTTTATTTTTTATTTATTTGACAGGCAGAGTTATAGACAGAGAAAGAGAGACAGAGAGAAAGGTCTTCCTTCCGGTGGTTCACTCCCCAAATGGCCACTACAGCTGGCGCTGCGCCAGTCCAAAGCCAGGAGCCAGGTACTTCTTCCTGGTCTCCTATGCGGGTGCAGGGCCCAAGCACTTGGGCCATCCTCCACTGCCATCCCGGGCCACAGCAGAGAGCTGGACTGGAAGAAGAGCAACTGGGAATAGAACCGGCAGCCATATGGGATGCCGGTGCTGCAGGTGGAGGATTAACCAAGTGAGCCATGGCACCAGCCCCTCAAAGAAATATTTTTTAAAAAATAAATAAATAATATTTCCTAGTACTCACTATTTACCTCAAAGGATTATGAAAGATATTAAATGGTATTATGTTGGGAGTGTTTTTAATATTAAATCACTATGCATATGAAAGCAATATTTAGCTGAAGTTATAACATTAAGTATAACCACAATAATAATGCTTTTAGATAATCTGACCCATTCAATCCTTCTCTTACAAGTTAATAGAACGCAAATAAAATGGAACGCCTTCTTTTGGTTTATGTAGAACCGCTTTCCACATTAGAGTGGCTTGATTTTTCTCATAGAACAAAATTTTAAATATACAGGATCTAAAAAGTAAGCTAAAAATAAATATTTTGTTTCCAGGTAACTAAACTACCAGCTAGACCTTCTTCTAACCCTAACATGGTGAGGATAAGAGGGAAGAATCCAAGCAGGGGAAGGGGATCAGCAAAACATGAGTTTGCATTGCTTTGTATCACATTCTGCTTTTTGCTATAAACCAGTGATTCCTAAGAGTTGGTTCATGTCCAGCTATATGAAATCAGAGGTGACCCCATAAAATGTATATAAAAATGAGGCCCCTTAAAGATCCCCAGAAGTGCTATCTGGGGTGCCATGCAATTTCACCATATGCTTACTAATAAATCCCCAATATTAATAAGCCCAAGAGGGGTCTTGCCTAATATTTAGAGAAGAATTGTAAATACCCGCACAGATAAACGAGGCAGCATGGTATGTTTTAAGCCTTTATTTAGTGAGAAAGATGCATAGGAGAGCGAGAGCTTCATTAAGAGAGAGAGGTAAATCTGGGTTCATAACGAGCACCGGGAACCAGCTACATGGAGGAGCATCTAGGCCAGGAAGCCTGGAGCACATGGCCCAAAGGCCACGCGCCCTGGAGGTGCAGGGCTATAGCAAGCCCCCTCCTGGCAAGAGGCCAAGGAAGAAGAGAAGGGCTGGGACACACTGTGTTCCGGGCTTTTAACCCACTTCCAAAGGGGAGTGTTTAATTAAGCTGATTGGATGGTGGGCACCCAGGTGTGGCCAGGTAGGGGCATGAGGTCACACAGGGGCGTGGTGAAGACATGGTCTTCCAGCTGACAAACCTAATGGATTTTAACCTCTATGCCTGCCTACTTCATTTTCAGTTAGGATTTGATAAATATTTGCTTACACAAGAGGCAAATAATCCTCTTTGAAACCTTGTTTTCCCCTAAATTACGTATTCTTAGAATTAATAATTTTGCTGAAAGTATCAGCCTAGTTAGCAGAAGAAAAGTAACAATTTGGGGTTAGAATCTGCTAGATAGAGTGTTATTTTTAATTACCTACGATTAATGTAGTTTCACAATATTATATGTAAGATGGCGGTTTTCCTTCCTTGCATTTTCTGCCCCTTTCATATCACTATTAGCACCACAATAAAGAAACTCTTAAAAGCTGTCCAGGGAAATTGAACATGAACCTGTGTTTAAAAACAACTACATTTGCAGCTCTCCCGCACCTCCTATGCAGAAGCACCCACACTTTGCTCTCTTTCTCTACTTTTTTCTGAAGGGGATTGGGGAGAGAATGCAGTGTGTAAAAATAAGCTATTGTATCTCAGAAAGGAGATGGGGTGCTAATTAAAGGTTGTTTGAATGAACAAGTCAAGTTGCATTGTCTGCTGGGAGCTGGCTGCCAATTGCTTTTTTGGTTAAGAGTCAAGAAAAACATTCAAGAAGAATTCCCCCCACCCCCCACCTCCCAGCTTGGGAGAGAAGGGGGCAGTGCTTCCACTTACCAAGTAGGTGCAGAAGCCTGCGCACTTGTTGTTAGGTGTCAGGTCGGGTGGTGAGCTCCTGCCTCACTGCTTTTCCTCCTGATTTCCGGAGCCACCTTCCGGGGTGGGGAGGAGGTGGGGGTCCTGCTGCATGGGGCAGATGATAGACCATGGCCATTACCTAGGCCAAACTCCTGCACTGCTGCTGCACACCTCTTCCTTTGACCAAGGTTTTTGGTCACTTTCTTGGAATCATCCAGGAGGCATGGGTTTTAAGATACACAATAGCTCAGGTCTTGCAGTGAAATAATTGATGCTCCAGTGAAAGAACCCAGGCAAATTGGTTAGTATGATTACCTTAACAAACTAAGAAATTTTCAGAAAGGTTTTCTTTTCTTAATGTTGACTTTAAGTTAGCCGCAGTAACGCGTTAGTCGGATTAAGTGGCAATCTTGGGTGGCATGCAATTCAAGCGGAGATGATTTACTTCTTTTGGAAATGGATCAAAATGTGGAGGAAATAAAGCTGTCTTATCGTACAAGAAATTGTGATCCATCTAGGCGAGGGGACTTATTCCATGGCTTTTGCATGTGGAATAGTTGGTCCAAGAACTCAGTGTGACAGAACCCTAGAGGTGTGTTTCTGAAACTGTACACTCTTTCCCTTTAATTCTGTGGTCTTTGGCTACACTTTGAATCTATACATATTTAATTTTTTTCAACTATTTCTGTATGCCTTTGACAAGGACGTGAACACACAAGTGTCCTCGATATTAAAAGATCTCCACTGAAAGCAGTAAATGAAAAATGACATTCAACTTCCAATCTTTATATTCTTAATCATTAAAGTATGTGATTAAAAGTATGTATTTCTTTTGTAGCTGTTCAAAAGTAGAATAATAAATACTATGAGCTTTTATTTATGCTTGAATCTCATGTTTTGCTGTTTTCTCTTAATAATGGTGCCTGAGTGTAATAAGAAAATTTTAAGATGTAATAATAGTAATAGTAACAATAACATATTCCAAGTGCTTCCTGAAAGTGTGGCTTTCTCCTAAGTACTTTCTCTGAGAAATCATGAGGAAACTGATCTGGCTCATGCATTCACAGCTTAGGTGGTGGAATCAACATTTGGACCCAGGCTTCTGAGTCAAATTCTCCACTCAACCATCACACTATATTGCCTTGCTTGTAATGGAATTATTGTGACTCTTATTAAACCCTTCAAAGATGATCCACTATAAAAACTCTCTAAATAGGATTTTATTGTACATTTACTTCAATGCCTTCCCCGGTGGGGGGGGGGGGGACACTTGATCCTGGAAAATATAATATCATAGATGCATGAATGGCCATTAGGCCTGCCTTATCTATGGCATCCAACAGTTTACCAAACTCTTGTTGTACTCGAGTTTGATGAAGCAGTAAATTGTGACTTGCCTCAATCATCTTGGGAGAACATTTCCTCTATTTCTGGTCATCAAGTGGCAGACTCTAATATTTAAATCTTAATTTCTTAATTTAGTTTTTAATTTCCCTATGGAGTTCTGGAAAATTTTACCTTGGGTTTTTTGGTTTTTGTCTTGTTTTTTGTTTTTTGTTTTTTTTTTTTTTTTGTATGGGGTTAATAGTAACAGTGTTTAATAGTCATATGTAGAAATTGAGCATTTTCTTTAAAAAGCAACTTTATTGAGCTATAATTTAGATTCTATAAAACTCGCCTGTTGAAGATGTACAATTCATTGGTTTAATGTATTTTTATAGTTTATAAAAATTGTAATTTTTTCAATTAATGAAATAAAAACTCTTTTGAGATGTTTGAATGAAAAATACTCCTAAGCTAAGCTAATAGAAGTCACCAATATCTGATCTGTTCTTCTTTTCTACCCCTAGAAATGTGTCCTTTACTGGCCAGAAAAGAGAGGGATATATGGGAAAGTGGAAGTTCTGGTTCTCAGTGTAAATGAATGTGACAACTACACTGTTCGAAACCTCGTCTTAAAGGTAAGATAATGTTGACGGAGCTATCTACAAAGTAAATGGTGTTAGAGGATTATATTTCTAATTTGCAATCATTTATACTGGTTAGTGCTACCAACTCAATTAAAAAATTAAGTAGTGTCAAGATCAAAGAAAAACTGTAATCATTCCCTCATGTATGTCTTTATTGTTGTCTACCACTAATATGTGAAATAACTAAGTTACTACAAATAATATTCAAGACTTCGTCATGTAGAATGTGGTGATCTTCTAACCTGCATTAATGAAACATCTCTGAGTTCACCTTTAACAAGTGTTCCACTAGAGGCTTGTGCTGGAGACTGTACCATGATTCCTTGTAGTGTCATTTTGGCCTAAGCAGCTTTAAGTAAGGCCTGGAAATGGTGAAAATCTACACTTGTGGGTGGCTGGGGGAGGCAAGACAAGCTTGAAGTGTTAATGAGATCCTCAGATACTCAGAGTTAAAGTCATTTATAGGGATTTTCCCCAGACCAGATGATGTCATAGAAAATTATCCTATTTAACTCATGGGCAGCAGATGCTGAGCAATGTTGCCATGGCATTTTCACTTCTAAAGAATAGTGTTCCCAGAGATTTCAATCTTATCAGCAGCCTCCCTGCTGGGACAGAATCCTCCCAAAAAGGAAGAGAGTGGAGGCAGAGCTGCAAGAATGGTTTCTATTTGGAAGTGTGGCATCGGGAGATACTTATCAAAGCTTGTTTCCTCAACACATGTTCTTGAGTGCCTAGCTGGTGCCAGGCCCCCACAGTCTGGGCACTTGGTTTCAAGATGATGTGCATGGGCCCTTGCTCAAGTTTTTCAAACTAGAGATCCATGTAACTACTTTATTTAATGCTGAGATTCCTCTTTGCTATTAAATACTAGATGAGTGTAGAAGCATTGGCATGATTGAATATTAAACTAACCGTTCTTCTGTTCAGTATGTTTTTAAAAACCTGTGAGGAATGATCACTGAGCAGGAAACATAATACAAAGGTACTTCAAAAGATCTGTGGGAAAATGGAATTAAAAGATAGGTTTATTATGTTACAAAAGATTTTGAAATCTATGCATAGAAGTCTTCAAAAAGTCCATGGGAAATGCAAAATAAACTGATGTTTCATCCATTTTTCCACAAACTTTTTGAAATACCCTCATATATCCCATTCTGTCTTGGCTACATTTTCACCTAAGTCCTTGTTTATTATATTATAAACACATATTTGGCATTGTTATCTATATTATAGATAGAGATCTAACCTAGCAGAGGCAAGACTGTCAAACTTTTGAGATTGGGATATTTACCGTGGAGTTTTCTCAAGATGAAAGGGTATTCGTCACAGATCTTCCAGGCTTTTTGCAACTTGGAATCCGTTGCTCGCTACATGGAAGTGACAGAACGCATTCAGTATTGTGGCTTGGGCGACTTTTAGTTCCACAAGTGAATAAGGCATTTGGTGGCCGTTGCTATTTTCAGCAAGGAAGTCACACCCAACATGTGAAGCATTACTGGTACACCTCATGGCCCGATCACAAGACTCCAGACAGTGCCCAGCCCCTTCTCCAGCTCATGCTGGATGTGGAAGAAGACAGACTTGCTTCTGACGGCCGAGGGCCTGTGGTCGTCCACTGCAGGTAAGGCGTGAGCTGTTATTTCTGCCTAAGCAGCTGTCCAGTCTTTGTGAAGTCATAGAGCACATAGAAGTGGGGTTTTCTTCCTGGATATGAGTTTCTTAATTAATTTAATATATATTGAAATTTGTTAACTTCCTAATATTTGAGTCTTAAGACAATACACAGAGAAATGAGGCCACACTTTCAGGGCATTAATAGCAACTACCCAGTAAACAAAATAGGAGTCCTGAAAAAATGACTCAGTGAACAGGAAACTTTACTCAGTAGTCTAATTTGAAACATACTGATTCATTTAGTCTAAGTTTCATAGACACTAGGAATTGCAAGTGTGTTTTTTGAAATCACAGTGACTTTTTTGTTGTTTCAAGATGGTGCCTGAAATCTATTTAGATTATATGGGTAGCATTTATTACTATGGAAAGTCTGATGAAAACAGGTCAAGTTATCTCATGTAAAACAGATGGAAACAAACTGATGAAGTGGGAAGTGGACAAATGGTAGTTTACCAAAAGGAAAGCAGCGCTGTTAGCAGAACGTGAGGTACTAAAGTGAGACAGACATGAGCACTAGATGCCCACAGCTGTACCTCCTAGAATTGATGGTCTTCCCCACTGTGCTTTCCTTTCAGTATGAGGGAAACCAAACTAAAGCACATATTTTTAAAGTCACTTATATCACCAATCATTCATTCTCCATATTTTCTCAAAATACTTTATGTTGCTTTGTTCAACCTGTTAAGTCTCTTAAAATAGCTTTTTAATAATATCTTTAATAATAAAAATAGTCTTTTGTATTGTAATTCTAGCCTCATTTTTTTAAAGTTTGTGGTTTAAGAGTGAAATGTATTGTATATCTGTTTATTCCAGATGCCACTATCCAGGTTCCAGCATTAGCCCTTCTCCTAAACTTCTTAGAACCCTTGGGAAAACAACCTAATTGGCCATGTTTTAGGGTTGAAACTGTTCCCCACCCAAAATCATTAAACTCTCAGGATGTCTGAACTGATCTAGCCATTTCCCCTATAAAACCAACTCCCCTTCTGATTACTGTTTCGAAGAATGAAACGAGCTTTTTTCCAGTAATTCGGCATCCAATGTTGACAGTTATCTTTGGCCTCTCTTTCAATTCTAGGCTCAATATCTAATCAGTCACTAGATTGGCTTTCCCTTCAAAGCTTCTCCACAATCACTACTTCCTGTCCAACCACCCTAGTTCAGGCCCTTATGACCTCATCCATGGCCTTTAGAAGTCGTTGTCTAATTACACACATGTACCCTACTCCCCTATGCCCTCTCTGCAACTATGGCCCACTCTGTAGACTTCCCTTGGATGTTGTTCCTAAAACCTCCTTTCATTAAGTGAAATCCCTCTTCAAAACTTGCCAATGTTTTCTCGTTGTCTGCAGCAAAAGTCCTTAACCTTGAGTATATAGACAAATCACAGGGATCAATGAACTCCTTGAACTCATTTAAGCAAATCTGGGTACCTAAGTTTATGTGAATTTTTCTGGGGAGTAGAAGTTCATAATTTTCATTTAATTCTTTAAAAAAAGCTTCTTTTTTATTTTTTATTTTTTTGACAGGCAGAGTAGACAGTGAGAAAGACAGAGAGAAAGGTCTTCCTTTGCCGTTGGTTCACTCTCCAATGGCCACTTGCAGCTGGCGCACCGCACTGATCCGAAACCAGGAGCCAGGTGCTTCTCCTGGTCTCCCATGCGAGTGCAGGGCCCAAGGACTTGGGCCATCCTCCACTGCACTCCCAGGCCACAGCAGAGAGCTGGCCTGGAGGAGGGGCAGCCGGGACAGAATCCGGTGTCCCGACTGGGACTAGAACCCCGTGTGCCGGTGCCGCAGGCAGAGGATTAGCCTATTGAGCTACAGCGCTGGCCAAGCTTCTTTAAAAAAAGAAAAATTTTTATTTATTTATTTGAAAGGCAGAGTTAGAGAAGGGGAGGCAGAGAGGGAGAGAGAGAAGTCTTCCATCCGCTGGTTCACTTCCCAAATGGCTGCAATGGCCGGAGCTGCACCGATCTGAAGCCAGGAGCCAGGAGCTTCTTCTGGGTCTCCCACATGAGTGCAGGGACCCAAGGACTTGGGCCATCCTCCACTGCTTTCCCAGGCCATAGCAGAGAGCTGAATCGGAAGTGAGCAGCCAAGACTCGAACTGGCGCCCATATGGGATGCCAGCACTGCAGCGCGGCTTTACCTGCTATGCCACAGTGCTGGCCCCTGAAAAAGCTTCTTTAATTACCCACAATAAAAAATATAGAGGATCAAGTCCAAAACTCTTAGCTTTCCATATAATGTCTTAGGGTACTGGAGACAGCATTGTTGCACAGTGGATTAAGCCGCCATCTGCAATGTTACATCCCATATGAGTATCAGTTCAAACCTCAGTTCCCTGCTAATGTGTCTGGGAACCCAGCAGAAGATGGCCCCAGTACTTGGATTCCTGTCACCCAGGCAGTAGACCCAGATTGAGTTCCAGGCTCCTGGACTCAGCCTGGCCCAGCTTTGGCCATTGCAGCCATTTGGGGAGTGAACAGCAGATGGATGATTTCTCTGTAACTCTACCTTTCAAATAAATCTTTAAAAAAAATCACATGGTACCTTCCCCGTCTTATTTTCCACTAAAATAACTTCTCCTCTGGCCAAGTGAGTCTACTTATTGTCACAAAGCATATATTCTGTTTCACATCCATTCTTTCCTTTTAACCATTGTCGTGCATGAGCTTTCTCTCTCATTCATGCCAGCCAAATGCTTGCCATTCAAATCCTATTTCTTTAATGAAACAAACTCTCTATAGACACTTCAGCTAAAAAGGATTCATTTCTCATCTGAATTCCTCTGCACTCACATTCAATAGGAAACAAGTGCCAGATATGAGAAGTCAATGTTATTTGAGCACCAAGAAGGAAGTAGTTGATTCTTACCCTGAAGATTGAAAGAAGCCTCTAAAAATTGGGATAATGTTAAACTGAGTCCCAAAAAAGGATCAATGTTTGTTGTAGTTTTTAGATGATGGGGAAGGCATCCAGATTGAGAAAATGTCATTCGCAGGGAAAATAGGAAAACAAAAGGCATTTTTTTTTTATGAAACTGAGAACAAAGGCACATAGGCTACAAGGAAGACTGCAAAAAGGCATAAAGTTTGAAAGTCACATGCAGATTTTGTAAGGTCATGAATAGCATGGGAGAAAACAGGCATTATGCTTTAACTAATAGGAGCCAGCTACAGTGTTTGAGTAGACAGTGAAATAACTAAGTTCTTAGTTTAGAATTATGAACCTAGTGACTGTATTTGTCATGAATTAGTCCAAGAAGAGACTTGAGACTTGGAAACCATGATGCTATCTCTGCTGATCATGAAGTGGACATGTGGAAAATGTGAACATAATCTATAGAAAGGAAATCATAGATCCCAAAGGCTCAGCAGAGTTGGAAAACCGAAGAATTGGTAGCAGATTGGATGTGGGAGGTGAGAGAGGGGGAGATGCTGAAGATGGCTCCAAGACTTCTAGGCTGGAAAACTTGTGGCTGACGGGTACTGCCATTGAGGGAAAAGATAATTAATTCTGTTTTAAATACATTGGATTTAGATACATTGAGCAAGTGCAAAATAGTAACATCAAGTGTTCCAGAGAAATTTAGGGAGTTTAGATGTAGATTTGAGAGAAATTTACATCAAGACTGTTAGTGGCTGAAATTGCAGAAAGACAGACAGTGTGGGTGAGAGAGCAAGTGGATGCATGAGATTGTTAGGTTTATTTTATAGACATACTGGGTAAGGCAGATGAGCATGCCTGAGAACCCTCCGGGATGGACAGTGTGTCTATTCAGGATCACTTCTGTATAAGTGACCTGGAAATATGTGCCTCCAGCCACATCCTCTCTCCTAAACTGAGCTGCATTCTTGATTATTCCCTAGACTTCTCACATCAGTACGTGTGAGACCAAACTCCTCCCTCAAGTCATTCCTCTTTCTGGCATTCTTCTTTGCCTCCGTGGTGCTGCCATGTTTCCCATCCTCTAGGCCTAAGCATCTTTGAACTTTTGCTTTGCTCATCTTTTAGCTCCACCAGAATCACATTTGTGAAGTGTTTACATCTTTCCCATCCCTTCTAGTACCTACACCTTCCCTAAATCCAGGCGCTAATTCTGCTCTCTTGAACAATTACAATGCCTTTTCACTATTCTTCCCACCCCCACCTCCCTCCACCCCACTCCTCCTACTATTTATGACTAGATGAAAGAAGAGGTTTTAAGCACTTAGCACAGAGCCAGGTTTGCAACACTCAGTACATGTGAGTGGGTATTGTTGTTATTAGTCTTAACTGTATTTCAGGTTAAAAAATATTCTTAGCAACTTTTATCTTTGTCATTCCCCACTTCCCACCTTTTGATTCCTTTTCTTTTCTTTTCAGTGCAGGGATTGGTAGAACAGGGTGTTTCATTGCTACATCCATTGGCTGTCAACAGTTGAAAAAAGAAGGAGTCGTTGATGCCCTGAGCATTGTCTGCCAGCTTCGTGTGGACAGGTAAGAGTCTGGGGATTTTGTCACATTCCCGCTGTCACATTCCCACTGTCAGTCACAGCCTGATCTGATCAGTCTGGCTTCGTGAAGGCCCACGGGTCCTCAGTCTCTATAGAGATTTCTACATGACACTTAAGAATATGCACAAGATCAACAAACCATTGAAGAGTGTTCTTTGCAACACCAAGCATCAGAAGTCCAAAAGAGCAGAGCTCATGCTTCGTCCTTTCTCATCTCTGATACTGACTGTTGATGGCATCTTCCATCCCTATGCCTTTTATATACTCTGCATTTTCATTTGACTTAGTAGAATTGTTCACTTATTTTAAAGTAAGGTCTATGGCCTACCTCCAAGGGTCTTTTTATAAGTCCATTTTTTTTTGTAAATTACAGCAAAATGCACACAAAAATCTTAGCAACATAATCATTTCTAAGTCCTCACTAATGCTAAGTATGTTCACATTGTTGTACAACCTATCTCCAGAATTTTTCTCATCTTGCAAAACTCCATAGCCATTAGATAATAACTCCCCATTTTTCCCTCAACCTAGCACTTGGGAACCACTCTTCCACTTTCTACCTCTGTGAATGTGACTATTCTAGATACCTTTTCAGCGGTATCATAAAGTATTTGCCATTTTGGTTGGCTTCTTTCATCTAGCATAATATCTTCAAGTTTCATGCTTGTTGCAGAGTCTATTAGAATCAACTTCTTTTTTGAGGCCGAATAATATTTCATGGGCTGTGTATGCCACATTTTGTTTATTCATCCACTCATGGGCAGTTGGGTTTCCTCTACCTTTTGGCTGCTGTGACTAAATATGAGTGTAAAAATATCCATTAGAGACCATGCTTTCAGTTCTTTGGTGTCTATGCCTAGAAGTAGGGATTGCTGGAATACATATTAATTCTGTTTGTAACTTTTTACAGAGACTCCGATCTGTTTTTCACAGCAACTCTACCTTGTTATGGTCTCATCAGTGGTGCACAAAGGTTCCAATTTCTCCACATCCTCAACAACATTTTTTTTGCTTTTTTTTTTTTTTTTGATAGTAGCCAACCTAATGGGTTTGAGGTAGAAGAGTTTTCATGCATTGAAGATTTCTGATTATGTCTTGAAAACAAAACAAAACAAAAATATTTCTCTGTTTGCTCTGCAACTAAGATTAGCTGAGTAAATGGAAAGTTGAGCCAGTGGGTGAGAAAGTTCACAGATGGTGTTGGAAACAGGCATATAGATGAGATGAGCAGTCAGCGGCTCTGTTTAGCAGTTCTCTGGGCATCAGTGGAAGAAGTTTTCCTGAAAGGCAGAAATACAGTGCCCTCTTATCCATGGGAATACATTCCATGAGCCTTAGTGAATGCCTGAAACTAAGACTAGTACCAAATCCTGTAGATAGACTGGTTTTTCTGACATAAATACTTATGATAAAGTTTATAAATGAGGCATAGTAAGAGAGGAACAAAAATACTGAAATAGAAAAAAGTACTATCATAGAAGCTATTTACAACTTATAAATTATTTCCAGAACTTTCAGTTTAATACTTTTGGACTGTGATTAACTATAGCTGAAACCAGGGGAGGTGAAACCATAGTTAAAGGGCTGATGGTTCTGCTGGATTCTCTTCTTTCAAGCAGTGGTTATTCACTAGTCATGTCCTGTGCCTCAAGTGTTGTTCTAGATGCTGCCAGTACAGCACTGAACAATATGAGTGAGGCTCCTGTGTCTTAGAGTTCACATGCAAAAAAAGAGACAAATAATAGATAAGCAAAATAATAAACAAGATAATTTCAGACAGAAATAAATGCAGAGTCCCAGGAGCTGAGGCTTTTGAACTCCAGTCCTGTGACCTGCCATTTCCAAAAAGTAAAGCAATGTAGTTATCTTTTAAGGTTCTTTCAATAAATATTTATTGAGCATCTACTTTGTGCTCCATCCTGTACCTCAATAAGGCAAAGGGATTGTTCTGAAAATTCAATGAGATAATATATAACAGTATAAGGCTCTTAGCCTAGGGTCTGGCACATATTAAATATCAATTCTTATTATACTAACTCTTATAAGTCTATCTTTCCTCTTTTTTCTCTTATTTTTGGTTCATTAGAGCTGATTTATTACAATAATTAAGATTTGGGGTTCTGAAGAGAAGTGTCTCAGGCTTGAGTATTGGCTCTCACCATTTTTAGTTTGTGTGGCCCTGGGTATGTTACTAGACTCCTTCATGTTTGAGTTTCCTCATCTGAAAACTGGATGAACAATAGCATTTATTTCCTATTGTTGTAAGGATCAGGAGAGATGCTGTAAAGTTCCTAGCATGAAATAAGCATTCGATCCTGTTATCAATGTAAGTAGCGAGTTAATCTTATCTGTGAACTAGAAACAGCAACACCTGCTTTACAAGGCTGCAGCAGCATTCAAATCAGATTAGACCTGTGATGTCCTAGGATCACACTTAGTCCACATTCCTTACTCTCCCTTTACCCTTTCTGCTTCCTCCTTTCCATACCCCACATGTAACTCTTCCCCAGGATATTTCCTTCCTGTGCATATAAAGATCAGTTCCAGTGTTCCTCCCTCCCTCTCTCAGAATCGCCGTCTGCCTCCCGAACCTTCTTGCCTCCCGTCCAGCACTGTATGCCTCAGCTGGAACAGGACTCAGCTGCTTCAGGTCAGATTTTGGAGCCTGTCTTCACCCAGGAAGCAGATCCTGAGTCATCACCCAGTCAACTCCAGAGCCGCTCCCACACTGCCCTTGTCCTCTGCTTCTATAAACAGGGCTCCGGCAGGGTCTCCACACTCCCAAGGGACTCCAGTCCACACCCCTGAGTCTTCCATTGCCACTTTCTAGTGCCGGAACTCCAGAAACACCAGATGTCTGCGTGCATCTACACTGACTCTGAACCAAGTTAGCCTCCGACAAGACCTGCCCCAGTCCTGTTGGGAGCAACAGGCTGGAAAGTGGGCTTGGCTTGCTGCTGTTCCTGCCTCTCCTTGCTATTGATTCCTGTCTACTCCCCTCTCATCGCACGCCTTTCCCATGGTTTGTGTAGCCTGACCTCCACCAGGGTCTCTACTTCCCAGTCATATTGCCCCTCCCAATCTACCAAATTGTCCTCTGGTTTTGAATAGAATCACAAATACTGTTTTTGAGCCACATCACAATGCCTGCTCTATCTACTCTCTCCTTCCTGAAGCACATGCTCAGCAAGTTCAGCCTTGGCCTTCCCTCTCCATCAAGGTCTTCCCACAGGGTTCGTCTTTGTGCTCCCGACAGGATCTGCAGAATGGAACCAGCTTCTCTGTACATGTAAAGCCTGCAGCTTCCTGACCCCTGGATTTGAATGACTGCCCAGATGTGTGTTGACACACACCGCCGCTGATTTATTCAGCAAGACCCTTTCTGTGGAAAGTCCTGTGAGCGCTGCTGCTACGTTTGTGAAACACATCTTTCCCTTGAAAGGCCTTCCCATGCCTCCTTTCTCCACAGGATCGGCATGGATTTTCCTTGACTTCTTGCTCCAGTTCGTCAGCTTTTCCCAGTTGTATCTCGTGTTCAGGATTCCAGTTTGTCGATGACTGCTGCCATGGACCATACCTGTGCCCTGTGCCTGTGAAGGCAGGTCTGGCCTCGGCTAGCTCGCATGCTCACTTGTGTGCTCTTGCAACGTCTTATCAGTTTTTCAAACCTGACCCCAAATTCTAATCTCCTTGGCCATTCTTGACTTCAGCTTTGAATCTGTCTTTGGACATCCCAGAACATGCTGTTGTACACCCAGAAATATATTTTATCATGGAATCTCCATCATGATTTTCAAAGAACTTTGACTCATTTAACTCCCACAAAAAAAAAAAAAAAAAAAAAAAAAAAAGAAAGAAAAAGAGGTGTTCCTTGGCTTCCATTTCCTTGGTCTCATTTTTTTAATGAGAAAACAAAGAATTTAAGACATCCAGTAATTTGCCCAAGATTCTATAGCTTAGAGAGGGGCAAAATAAACCAATCTACAATCAAGGACTTTTGATTTCTAATTCAGAAGGGATGAATCTTATAGCTAAAAGTAAACAGGCTCTTGAAATATGCTTATTGTAAAACTGTTTGACAAAACCCTATCTCTTAGGTTCTGCCCACTTAAAAAGTGTAATGACAGCATACACTGTTATTTTCAAAAGCATTTTTGATATCAATGAGAGCTGCTTCATGAATCAATGAAGTGGCATGGTCTACAGTTCCTTTAAGAGAAAGGACACAGGAAAATTGCCTCACCCCAGAATTTCTCTCAGTGGAAGCTGCCTAAAGTGTCCCAGTCTAGTAAATACCTAAAATACTGCTGGTGGTTAAGTCCATCTTTGGCTAAAAGAATCATTCATAGGGCAGGTGTTTGGTGCCCACCTCCCAGATCACAGAGACTGGGTTCAAGTCCCAGCTCTACTTCCAAGTCCAGGTTCCTCTTAATGCATATCCTGGAAGGGAGCAGGTGGTGACTCAAGTTCTTGAGTTCCTGTCACCCACATGGGAGACCCAGATTGACTTCTGGGCTCCTGGCTTCAGCCTGGCCCAGCTCTGGCTGTTGTAGACATTTGGGGAGTGAACCAGAAGATGAAGATCTCTCTTCTCTCTCCTCTCTCCTCTCTCTCTCCCCCTTTCTCCTTTTTAAATAAAATACAAAACAAAAAAGATTTTTAACACTTTATAGCTATTCAGTTAATACTCTAAATAAAATTTATCCTTTCCATTATGATAGCTATAAAGAGTGCAACTGCCACATAAGGAACACATTCAGAACCTAGATTTTGATGAAGGGGTATTAAAGAGAAGGCTCTAGATGATGGGAATAGGCTGATGGTGCCCTACAGCTGAGTGGCCTGGTAGATAAACCCTCAGAAAGCAAGTGACCTGAAGAAAGAGAACAATTGCTCCAGCAGGGGACACCTTGGCTAGGATTAGCTACATAATTTGCACAGCCCCATGTGGAGCTCCATGTTTAAAAATTATTTAATATTTCA